AACGCCCGAGGCCTTAGCCTCCAAGCGTCGTGCGCGTTGCTCCCTTGTGCACGCCTTGCACCAGTCGACTGCGTCACCCGAGCCTTCAAGCCTCGATCTCTTCAGCTTCTTTCTCGACCTCCTATGCCATCGTGCATGTTGGTATCCTTGTATACGGGCTCGTGAACGTCGCTTAGGCCATGCATGCGTAGTTTTGGCCTTTTTTTCAGCCTTCTTGAGCCTTCTCGGCTCTTGGACCTTCTTGTCGTCGGGGCTCGGAACCCACTTCTGCATCATTCCCGCCCCCTTTGAGAATGTCCTTGTCCTCAAGGACTCATCANNNAGTCGCCTCCTCTTCGACCTTTAGGACTTCGAACGTAACCTCTTCCTGGCCCTTCTCGTCCTCGACTCCATCGGCCTCGCTCATAACCTCTTTGTTGAATGAGTGCGGTTTCTCACACTCGACCGATTCGACCATAATTTCCACCTCATACTTATCGTGGTCGACCAATTCGGCCTCCGTCTCACTCTTGGACTCACCTTGGGCCTTGTCGCTTACTCGCGATTCCTCTTGCTTGATCTCAGCTTGCTCGTGCTCTCTCCTCGACCGATCGTACCGGTAAGGTGGTGGTCGCGCTTCATGCGGTTGTGGTCGATCATCGTTCACGGTTGGTCGATGCGCAATCCTTAAGCACTCGTCGAGCTGTGGGCGGTCATGAATGTTTGATGCCTGAGGCCGCTGCTCGACATCCTTCTCTTGTTTGTACTCGGTGTAATGTCGATTGTACTCCCCGGGTCGTTTGCTCCCGTGGCCACAGTGATGGCTGCGCCTGCCGGTGTTGGAAGTTGCGTGCCATCTCGTCGAACCTCCGGTTCATGTTCTCTATAAAATCCCGCACCGATGTCGTGGTGGTGTCGAACCCTTCGCCTAGGTTTCGGACTCGCACGCCCAAGTTCTCGAGTTTGTTCTTCATCTCCTTGTCGGCCATGTCTTTCTTTTCTTGCCTTCGCTCTTTACTTCGAGGACTCATGATGAAGATTTTCTTTTTCGATCAGCTAGACCCTCTCACGAGCACACAACCTCACGATTTTTTTTTGATAGGGGGGATGAAAAAAAAGAAGAGAAAAAGA